CCATGTTGGGCCAACTATATCCTCCGTTGTCACTTCCCTCAACGCTTTTGAAAGCCAAACGACCTCCCATTTTACAGGTAAGGAAACTGAGATCCAGAGAGGTTAGGAACTCGCCTGGATTGCAGAGCTAAATAAATGGTGGGATCAGAATTCACAACCAGCCGAAGAACAGCCTGAAATTCCTGCTTTGGCTGAAGGGAAGGGAAGAAGATCAAACAAATAAAAAGACTGTATCTTTCTCAGCAGCTTGGGGATGGAAACAATCTGAAGGATAGGAAATCTGGAGCTGATAGGACGTTTTAGTGGCAACTGTAGGCTTCGTTGTTGTCTTCTGTGAGTGAAGGTTTGAAACAAACATTTGTTTTCCAACTTTTCCACTGGGTTCCTCTGATCTTCTATCCGAGTAGCTCACAGGAAGGTGGCTGTATTTACATGAACGACGTCTTTTTTTTGTCCACTGCTGTGTCTCAACAAGGCTGAGATTGGTTGGCATCGGTCTTATCCCAGAATCGTGATGTTAAGACTGGCACAGGGGGAGCTGGGCTTTCCAAGGGTTGGCCCACTAATCCTCACAGTAGCTCCCCCGTCCAGTGCCAATACCACTCCCACTTTACAGATGAGGAAACTAAGGCATGGAGAAGTTAAGACTCTGGAGCCAGGGGAGGAAGCAGAATCCAAACCCACTATGTACATTAGAGTTGTCATTTTCAAGGTCATAAGATCTCTGTCCTCCCTCTTAGAGCAGACTCCCTCTTCTGTCACCACACAGGAAAAGAACCTTAGAGCTATTCATTAGGAACAATTCCCTCCAAAATACAGTCACTTTTGTGGCCAAGGATTTAGCTCAGTGGTTCCGCCACTTGCCTCGCAAGCAAAAGGACCCGAGTTTGATCCCTGGTACCAAAAAATAAATAAATAAATAAAATAAACAAAATACAGTCATTTCAAAAATGTAGTTAAGGCATGGTGAGTCAGAATAAATTACAAAGTCAACATTTCACTACACTTCTAGTGATTTCCCTATTTTTTTCCAATCATTTAAAAGAGATGCCATTCCTTTGGGGGTACTCTTGAAAGAGATAATGAGATCCCCTCCACTCCTCACCCCACATCCTGCTTGAGAAGTTTGCACCATTAGACTGCACCCCAGTTGGCACAGGTGGAGGAAGAGGGTCCCTGTCACTTTGCTGACCATAGATCACTGTGATAACCATCTCCCCAGGAAATGTAGCAGGGCAGACGTCTGTGACAAGAGCATTAGCACATTTCCTCCTCAACTCCCCAAAAGCAGTTGTCACCAGAGCATAGCATCTCAATGAGTTGTCTTGCCATAATGGATTGCTTGACAGACTTCAGAAATCACTTTTATTAATTTGCCTCCTCTGCTGCTGATTTGAAGGCTTCACTCATGAGGAGGGAGGGGGAGGTGAAGGATGCCCGTCTCCCCAGTTCTGCCATGTTGACCCCAAAGCTGACAACCTGCACCCCGCAGTCTGAGCTCTGCTTCTTCACCTCTGCCCTCTCCGTAGGATTCATACTGAGGCCTGAGGCAGGGCCAGGGTACAGATGGCCTTGTTTTGCCTTTATGCAAAAACTGTCCTTCTGGAGACACACAAGGCAGAGGAGGTCATAAGATGAATGTTTCAGCTCTTGCCTGTTCCATGTATTTCTGGCCAAGCTCTGGATGTCCAGCTGCCGCCCAGATTTTACCTCGGGGACGTACAAATCTACAATATCTCCAACACAGAGCCCCACACTGAACCATTTTCATCTCCCTCCAGGCCAAATCTCCCATATTTTCTAGATCTAGGCACCAAGCTATGAAAGTGACCCCTTTCTTCTCTCTCCTCCTCATTCCCTGGATCAGTCATTACCCTGTCTGTGTCCCCTCTTCTCTCAGGAGTCTCTGGTCACATTGACTTTCATGTCACCCACTGCTCATTCATTCCTGGAAGTTGGTATGTGCATGTTTTTCACACTGGGGATTGAGCCTGGAGCTCCGAGCATGCTAAGCATACTCTACACAGACTGAGATCCCCAGCCCTAAGAGGGAGGGCTGTAAAATCCAAATCTGATCAGTTCACTCCCCTGCTCACAATTTTTTTCATTTTCCTTGTTTTATTTATTTTTATTTTTATTTATTTTGGGGGGCTCCTTGCGCTTTCGAGGCAGTCAGCGGAACCACTGAGCTAAATCCCAGGCCTTTCTTTGTTTTAAATTAGAAATTAGCAGTTTACAACTATAGATAAGTTGGAATTTTCTAGTTTATAAAAGAGAAACCACAGGGCTGGGTTTTTGGCTCACTGGTTCCGCCTCCTGCCTTGCAAGCGCAGGGTCCTGAGTTCAATGCCCAGTACCAAAAAACAAACAAACAAACAAAAAACAAAAGAGGAAACCACAAAGTATGCAATCTTTTCATCTTTCAGTCAGTACACTGAGTTTGAAAATCACCCATGTTGCACTTATCAATCTTTATATAGTATTCCACCGTGTGGACTACCTCAGTTTGTTTACCTATTCATAGGTTGGTGAAAATTAGGTCGTTTCCAGATTTGTGTTGTTACCGGAAACAGCTGTCATGAACATTTGTGCACAAGTCTCTGTTTTGTTTTTTTTTTGGTACCGGGGATCAAACTCGGGTCCTTGCGCTTGCGCAGCAGGCGGCGAAACCACTGAGGTAAATCCCTGGCTCTGTGCGCAAGTCTTTGTATGGACACATATTAGCTTCTCTCCTGGGAAAATATTTAGGAGTAAAATGGCTGAGGTATGTGGTGCATGCACGTGTGTGTGTGTGTGTGTGTGTGTGTGTGTGCGTGCGCATTTCTTTCACTTGGTTTTTGGGATTGAATTTATGGCCTCACACATGGTAAGCAAGGGCACCCCAGCCCTGGGCGTGTATATTTATTTTTAAAAATTTAAAAAACATTTTAAATTTTCATTTTATTTAAATTTTTTTTTTGAGACAGGGTCTCCTTGTATAGTCCAGGCTGGCCTGGGACTTATGGAGATCCCTCTGCCTCAGTCTCCAGAGTGCTAAGGTCACAGACGTGCGCCACCACACCTGACATTTCTTTAACTTTGTAATAAAGCTTCACAGTTGTTGCTCCTCATGCTTTCCGGCTAACTTCTAAACTCTTTAGCGCCACCTACAGGACTCTCTGCGGTCTCGCTCTGCCCCGCCTCGCTGCGCTGCCCTTACCCTGCTCGTGGTTCCCTTAGGCTCTGGTTCTGGAGCTCACAGAAGCTGGCCCTCCAGCGCTCAGCTCCGGGGAGGTCTCCTGCCCGTCGGTGTATGCGGCTGCTCCAGTGCTTATCCCCAGTGCATTGTTTTGGAGGTTTACTGCTTCTGATAGCGCCACATGACTATGACAGCAGACGGTAGAGCCTGTGGTTTCCATCTTTGGATATAGGAAGGGGAAAAAAACCCTCAAAACGGCTAAAAGAATTAAAATATTTGGCCCTAGACAAGGGAAAGTGGGCGGGCACGGTGGCACACCAGTAATCCCAGCACTTGGAAGGCTGAAGCAGGAGGACTGCCGTGAGTTTGAGGCCAGTCTGGGCTATGTAGTGAGTACAAGTCCAGCCTGGACTACACAGCTGGACTCAGTCTCCAAAAAACTCCAAAAAAACAAAGAAGGAGGAAGAGGAGAGAGGGGAGAGGAGGAGGAGGGAGGAGGAAGGGGGGATAGGAAAAGTGGAGAAACCCGAGTATTACTTAACTTCTATTGGGTCAACAAACAAGTAACTCTTTAAATTATATGCATATATAACTGGGGTGGTGGAAAGGAAAAAATGAACAAGAAAAAGAAAAACAGCCTTTGGGGAAGAAGGAAGACACAGCAAGGGACCTGCTGTAATGTTTGTCTAACTTTCTCCTGTCTTCTCACCCCCTCTATCTAGGATCGGTTTCCCTGTCTTCCCTCCCGCCTCCTCCCTCCCTCCTTTGCCACATTGCTGGGTCATACTACATATAAAGGTGACAGCTAACAGACCGTGGACCACGAACACTTTCTATGCATTATGTCCTTTGTTCCTCCTAACCACGAGTGTTTTGTTTTTACTTATAATTATCTTCTTACTATTTACCATATGGTCTTCATTATAATTTTTTTTTTTGAGATTGGACCACACAATCATCTTTTTCATGGTATAATAATATTTCACCCGGGGCAATATCCATCTGTTCCCAACTTATTAGGATTTTAAATTGTTTTCTAACTTTCGCTATTATAAAGGACACTTGAATGCTAGATTTTTCTCCTAAAGAATTATCTCAAGGTTCGTGCTTTTAGGATAAGTTTCCAGAAATCCAGCTACTGGGTCGAGGAGTCTAAGCATGCCACCCGGTCGCTGCAGCTCTTTCGAACCCCTCCTGCGCCGACACCGCCTGCAACTCCGAGAGGGGGCGGTCGCGACGGGGCGCAAGTTCACAGGTCACGGGCAGCTCGTTCCCAAGGCCACGCGCAGGCAGGAAGAGCCGGAAGTGCAGTGCCCGACTCTCTGGATCTCTCTCTCCGTGCCCCCAGTGGCGCGGAGCTCCGCCCTGCCGTCCCTGCCGCTGTGTCCCGGCGCCCTCCGGGCTTCCCAGTCCTGGGCGCTTCTCCTGCGCGGGAAGGAAGGGGCACTGGCAGCCCAAGAACCACGCGCCCGGAAGCCTAGGCGGAGAAAAGGAGTCAGGGAAAAGAACCAGAGACACAAGTGCAGAGGATGGGAGGGGCCCGGGGCAGCGGAGAAAAGGGCTTGAGGACGTTGAAATTGTTTATCCATATTCTTTTTTGTTTGTTTTTTGGTACCGGGGATTGAACTCAGTACCTTGCGCTGGGACCTTGAAATTGATGAAGAGGGTTTTGGGCTGAAGACAGGAAAGGCTTTGACTTGGACAGAGGGGGTCCTGCTATGTCTTAAGTGTTGAATCTATCTCTTGATTCTAATTCACTGTCTCAAGACAAAAACTAATAATTTGTTTTTGTTTTCTCTTTTTCAAATGAATGATCAAAAAGCAACTTCAAACGATTGTTTTTCTACTACAGAAGAAAGCGAGTCCTGCGTCGCCCAACCCAAACCATGCACAGCGGGCAGAGACTCTGCTTTCTACGGCCACTCGCAGAGAGGGGGCCTCCCCCCATCAGAGAAGCCCAAGGCCTCAGTGATGCCCACGGCTAACGGGCTGGCGAAGGGTGTAGCACCCACAAAGGCTGCTGGAGACCAGTCAGGACCCACGGAGAAGAGCCTGCCTCCAGGCGGACGGGAGGGAGCTGAGCCACGTCAGCCAGGAGGCAAAGGGGACACCTCAGGGACAGAAGAAATTAAGAAAGACGTGGAAACAGCGCTGGAGGTTCAGTCTTTAAAAGGAAATGCTGACATGGAACCTTCAGGGACAGCAGCCCCTGGCCAGCCTTTGAGGACGGCAGGAGCGGGGGGAGCAGGGGAAAGGACGGAGCATCCTCAAGCACAAACTGTGGGGCTGATGAAACCTCTGGGGACAGCTGGCGAACTACAGTCTCAGGCGGCGATGGGAGAAGACGAACAATGCCAGCTTCCAGAAACAACTCCCAAGGAGAACAGATCTCCAGAAATATCGGAAGGAAATCAGTTGGTGGAGACAGTTGAAGAGCAGCAGCTTCAGGAAGCAGTGGGGAAAGATGAGCAGGCGCAGTCCCAACTTGAGACAATTCCCAAAGAGAATGAAGGGCCAGAAATACTGGAAGGAAGTCAGTTTGTGGAAACTGTTGAAGAGCTCAAGCTTCAAGAAACATTAGAAAAAGATGCACAGCTTCAGCCTCTAGAGATAATTCCCAAAGAGGATGGAACATCAGAAATACAGGACAAAAGTCAGCCTGTGCCAACTCCAGTAATGGATGATCCAATCCACGCAACTCCTCAAGGCCCGGGAATCCCGGAGCTGGTTCAACCTGAAGGAATAGTTGGAGGCAGGGAGCATCCGGTGGGAATCACAGAGCCAGCAGAGAATATGGAAGTGGACAGGAAAAGTCACACTAGTGAAGAGGAGCAATGCACTGAAGGTAAACATTAGGCTGTGAGGTCAGCCTGTCTAGATGTCCTCCATGGAGATGTCAGGGGAATGAAGTTCACTTGACCCAAATCAAAAGGTTTCCATGCCTTGGAAATGGGCATCCCATCAATGCTCAGCTCAGCTTTCTAGTACATATTTTCTAAAGCTTTTCTAAAAATCTGTGTCTGGATTTTCAACCTAGTTTGATGGTTAAGTAGAATCAAGCATTGAAAGTAACGCTGAAATGTTCACTCTTGGGCCAGGGATTTAGCTCAGTGGTTCCAAAGCCTGCCTCAAAAGTGCAAGGTCCCAAGTTCGATCTCTGGTATCCAAAAAAAAAAAAAGGAAAATGTTCACTCTTCACTGGGCTCCCTGAAGTATATGAGGCTCCAAAGACAAGGTGAACAGATAGTTGATAGAGGAGTTGACCTTCCAGGGGCAAAATATACAAAGAATAGATCTCAGAATGCAGTTTCTATCTTGGCCAATCTTATCTTTAGAAAGTTACTGTCAATTTGTTCCTGTTCTGCTATAGTCTCCTCTCCTTTCTCTTCTCTTCTTTTCTCTTTTGGTGCTGGGGATCCAACCCAGGACTTTGTTCATGCTAAGCACACATTCTACCACTGAGCTACACCTCCAACCCCGTCTTTTTATCTTCATAAGACTGGAGAATGTGTATTAAGTCTTGGCATATGGTGTTCAAAAAAATTTAAATCCACACATTACCAGCATAAAATAAATGATATTTACACTGTTCTTTATTGGAGTTATAACTGAAAAATAACATTTTCTTCTGAGGCATGATTTACATTTTGGTAAACTTTAGGTTCACAGCATAGTTTAATTAAGTGAGACATTAATTACAGCCACCCATCTATTTAAGTCTTTCATTTATTAACTCACTTTCTTTTTCAGTGCTGGGGGTCGAACATTGTGTCTCACGTATGCCAGGAAAATGCTCTCCCACTGAGCTGCTCGCAGACAACTAACTCAGCATTCTTTGATGTCTGTCCCCATACTAGGTGCTGGACATAGGGAAGGAGTAAGATAGGCCCTGTCCTTAAGGGCTGCTCCACCTAGTGGGACGGAAGAGTGTAAACTAATTACTGCAATCTGTGGAGGCAAACACTTTAATAAAAGTGCGCAAAAAATACTCTGTGAACAACAAAGGAGAACCAAATAAAAGCATATGTTTTTAGACCAGAATTGACAAAATCAAAAGGTTTTAGGGTCTTGATTCTGAAAACAAGTTAGGTGGGGGACACATCAGATTTTGTGGGGAGCCCTGGGCCCTCGGCTGAACAGGGCATCACAGACCTGCCAGAAGGAAGCTGCTGCTTGGCCCCAGCTGAGGAATGGGGCTATCATTTCCCAAACCAATTTTTTAGAGAAACATTTCTATATGCAATGTCCTGACTTTTGAATGTTAGTAAGTCTATGTGTTTAACAAGTATTTTCTTTTTTCTTTTTATTTATTTATTTTATATATATATTTATTGGTACATTTTAGGTATACAATACATTTACATTTATCATTGGGTGTTTGTACCAGAACATGATGTATCTTAGTTCTTTTTTTTTCTCCCATTACCTGTGCACCCTTCACCCCCTCCACCCTTCCCTATTTACACAGAGTTTGATTCCATTTATTTTTCCTCATAATTTTTCCTTTCCCTTCTTCCCTTTCGCCTTCCCCTTCCACCATCCCGAAACCCTTGGACCTTTTCCTATTTCAAATTATCAATTATTCATTTTAATCATTTTCATCCTTATTTACACTTTCAATTTCTCACACTAGAGAAACTATTCGGTATTTACACGAGTGTCCTATTTATATCACTTAAGAGTATGGCCTCAATATGCATCCATTTAGCTATAAATGTCTCTAGTTTCTCATTCTTTATAGCTGAGTAGTACTCCATTTTATAAAAAAACCACATCTTCTTTATTCAGTTTCCAGTCGATGGGCACTTGGGCTGTTTCCAAGCTTTAGCTATCACAAACTGTGCCGCTATAAACATAGGTGCACATATATCTCTGTAGTATGATTCTTTTAATTCTTTGGGGAAGATTCCCAGTAGGGGAATAGCTGGGTCAAATGGGACCTCTAGGCCTAGTTCTTTGAGGTATATCCATACGGATTTCCACAGTGCTTGCACCAGTCTACACTCCCACCAGCAGTGGAGCAGGGTTCCTCTTTCCCCACAGCCCCGCCAGCATTTGTTATTTGTTGATTTCTTGATAGCAGCCATTCTTTCTGGGGTGAGGTGGAATCTCAGTGTTGTTTTCATCTGCACCTCTTGAATGACCAGTGATGTTGAACATTTTTTCATATATTTATCTGCTGTTTTTACTTCTTTGTCTGAGAAATGTCTGTTCATTCGGATGCCGATTTTTGAATTGGGTCTTTGAATTTGGGGGTCTGGTTTTTTTCAGTTCTTTATATATTCTCAATAGTAGACCTTTGTCTGAGCTACAGCTGCTAAATATTTCTTCCCACATTGTAGGTTGTCTCTTAGCTCTAACAAGTATTTTCTTTAAACATCATAAAGGCCAACTAAAACAGATTTTGGGGGCATCCCTGGAGCACTTTGTGGATTGATATATACAAACTTAACTTTCTATTATAATATGTTTGAATGCTATTTCTTGGGCAGCTTTGCATCCTGATTTTATTGAAGAGAATGCCAAGACTTGGAAATGTTAAGCAACTTGACACTGGCCATTCAGAGACTCTGGGGGACTCAGGAGAATTCCTTTCTTGACACCAAAGAAACTTACTGTGTAGACTAAGAGCAAAAACTGCCCCCACTGGATGGAAACCAAGTATGGGGTAATTTGTTGTTAATGTCTCTTACTGTCCTTTGGTTACTTTCCCAGGTGAGACAGGAGAAAATGTGGAAAGAGAGACGGAGAACGAGAAAGTAAATGAAGCTGAAACAAAAGAAGAAGAAACAGGAGAAGCTGTGGATCTTTCAGCAGCCACATAGATAGGGATGGTGACGGGCAAACAGACACAGCTTGCTGTGAGAGAGAAGAGAGAAAAATGCTGAGAAAGAAGAGAGAGAAAATCCCCTTTGTTGTGGATCTTATCTGTCTACAGCTACGTGTTTTATACAGGGAGTGTGGTAATTGACTGTTGGAACCATGTTCTTGATTGTATTTTGCCTTTTTTTTTTCGTACTGGGGATTGAACTCGGGACCGTGAGATTGCGAGGCAGGTGCCGGAACCACTGAGCTAAATCCCCAGCCCTTGATTGTATTTTTTTATAAACCTGCTAAGCTAGAAAGTTTTCTTAGCTACCTAGGATAATTATATATTTAAAATTACCATAGCCAGAGCCAATGAAAACTAGGGAATATGATCATTTATGAATGTGAGGGTGACTTTGGTCATTGTAGCAGTGGGTCCTTTCGGAATAAAAAATTAGACACTGAAAAGAAAGCATAAAACCTATATGCACAGGTGGCTGGAGAAAGGAGTTAGCACATTTTAAAGAAGTCATCATAATAGTTAGTATTATTACAATGGAACAAGAATGAAGGCCAGGGATGTAGCTCAGTGGTTCCGCTGCCTACCTCGCAAGCACAAGGTCCTGAGTTCCATCCCTGGTACCAAAAACAAAAAACAAAAAAAATGAATAATATCAAAAACCATGAGATGAATTTCTGTTCTATCAGGAATTAGAGCTGGTAGGAACCTTGGGAAGTCTGTCATCTAATCACCTTAAGTCTACCTGCTGCCACAGACCCTGTGCATCATGACATATTAAATATGTTGATGAAACTCCTTCCAAAGGAATGCAGACTCTGGTGCTGTTGCAAGACTAAGCATTTCTTGAAATGGAAGGCTTCACCTTTCCCATGTGCCATTTTGAATCAGCTGTTCATGTACTCTTCTGTGCGATTCAGCTGGTGTTATCCTTTTTACTGTCATGAAAGGCATTTTGAACTAATTGACTTCAATGTATTTCAGAGGCAACAAACAGCAAAAATTAAGTCCTAGATTTATTGCCTATGTGGAGTCCTCCTGGGCCCTATTCATTTTTTAAATGACAACTATTTAATATTAGGTTTTAGAGGTGGAAAGGAGGGAAGACATCAAGATTTTAAAAGCAGCTGGGGATTTAGCTCAGTGGTTTTGCTGCCTGCTGCACAAGTGCAAGGACCTGAGTTTGATCCCCAGTACCAAAAAAAAAAAAAAAAAAAGATTTTAAAAGCATTTGTAATATTTCATTCATTCATGTTAAAATAATGTACCACAGAAAGTCATTTTTCAAGAATTCTTCCAAAATTGGCAAGGGGTTTCAGTAAATGACTACAAATAAATAATAATATCATAGTTAATGTGCCCACTCTTAAGTACCTGGTGTTTATGAGTATCATAGTAGATAGAATTCTAGAAACATTTGGTTTCTTTATAGTATTTATAAATACATGTTTTTAGATAACTGCCCAAATGAATTAACTAGACTTTTAAACTTTAGATTCTACATTAAAATGATGTACTAAAATGACTTGTAATTAATCATGGGAATATAAGATGTAGGAAGAGTATATCATCTTTGTTCTGTTTTTAATATCAGTTTATGCCTTTGTTGGTTTAAAAGCATTTAGGTAGACAACAAAAGGAGTTCCTAGAGCTGGGTGTGGTAGTGGACACCTATAATCCCAGCACTCAGGAGGCTGAGGCAGGAGGACTGCCAGGAGTTGGAGGCCAGCCTGGAATAGATAATGTCAAGGCCAGCCTGAACTACGTAGCAATACCTTGTCTAAAAAACCCCCAAAACCAAAACCCAAAATGTCTCAAAACAAAAGGAGTTCCTTGAATAGATGACATCATCTTATTTGCAAAATAAAATAGTTGGATCATGATTTCATTGAAAACAAGCTCTGTGTGGGCCGGGGATTTAGCTCAGTGGTTCCGCCGCCTGCCTCGAAAGCGGAAGAACCTGAGACCTGAGTTTGATCCCCAGTACCAAAAACAAGCACTGTGTTTTATGTATCTTTGAATTTAAGCACCCACTGCCTTTAAAGGAACATGACAGATGTTCTGAACACGTGTTGGATCAATCAATGAGTAATACCATGGGTTCACTAGAAAATGATATATTTAAAATATGAATTTATGCAACATTGACGCAGTCCTATCTGGGGAACTGAGGAAAGTCTATTTTTATGTCATGACTACTCAAACTCAGTGAATAGCTTCATGTGTGGTATAATAAAAAATAACAGCAGTATTTCTAGGTTAGAAAGTTATAGTAATCAAGAATTGATACAATTTGCTTTTGAGATACTTTTTTTCAAATATTTTTTTCTGAGCAGAAGAAAGTTACTAGATATAAGTATCTAATAATTAGAAAATATCAAGGCAGAGAAGTATGTGATGAATATATTAGTTTTTTAAAAAAATTTTTTGTTTTAAT